CTAAGGTCTGTTTAACCTAAAATTGACGTACAATGTTCATTACGGTCATTACGATTTACAAGTTCTGTGAATGACATGATCACGTAAGCAGTTTTGCTGAAAATGTCTACATTTTCATTCACTAAATGTTAGATAGTGCTCAACAGCATAAAATAGATCAAACAGTAGGTTGGCTTACCTCAAAATCTAGAGTAGCCTTAATTCTCTCGCCTGACTAAATCCATCTCTAAATCACTGCCTAGAATATAGAAGACCAACTCAGCCAAAAAAAGCGTAACCGCCGCTACACAATGATTCGTCATCAAAATGCACTCACCATGTTCCTAGCCAGTGCGCCTACGAGAGGCATTCATCCCCCCCCCCCCCCCCCCCATCTGTGCAATGCCTCTCGTACGCGTACTGGATAGGAACAGGGCGACAGCATAGCAATGGTTACGGCAAAATATAGGCAAAACCATGAAGCAGGCTTTCTGTAAAGTCTCTTTTCTTGGCCTGCGTGCAATCTCATGACATCTTTATTGGTAGGCAGCCTATACCATATTTGCATTATCATTATACATAGTCAATCACGACATGGTCTGAAAACACGGTCAAAGTCTTTCTTCAATCTTTTTGTCCACGTTTATGCTAACTTGGGCACGTAAAGGCAGTGTTCCAGGTCTGCGCGTACCTCAGGATAATCCGACATAACTGTTGAATGTGGTGCAGAGCGTTGTGTGAAAGCACATCTTGCGAACACAAACATGTATCATCAAATAGGCCGGTCATCGTTCCTGCAAGTTGGAAGATATTTTAAGTTAGAGGGACTGGCATTTGAGGAAAGCACCATTAAAACTATGCGCTCTGGGGTAAAACTTAAAAATCGAGGCCATTTCTCCTGGTGGAAAATTGAAGAACTTATGTCGCAAAAATATTCCAGAAATTGTTTCATATTCGGTTCTTGTTGGTTTTAAGGCGGATTTCCAGTCCTCGCACGAAGCTCCTCGCAGCTCGCTGCGAGTGCTTGTATCTAATTAAAATTAACTGTTTAGTATTGATTGGATGAAAGTGCTCATGAGGACTGGAAATCCGCCTTAAGAGTTGACCTATCTGTGGATGGAAAAGGGCTTATTCACACCTTACCTATTTTTAGAGGGCTAAGCCCACAATGCAAAATTTTAGGGAGGCGCCCTCCTCCAGCTCCCTGGTTCCTACGCCAGTGCTTACCCCTAATATACTTACTCAAAACTGAGACAACGTCTATAACATATCATAGAACATATACAGAGGACAATTCACTCCTGCAAACTCGGTTTTCTGACTAAATGCTCCAGTGTAACGCGCACCAGTTCTTCCGTACACAACGCTTGGTTAGTCTTACACCATTGCAACATCTCCGTGAAATTATACTGTTTGGCAAGACATTTAGCTTTCTTTGCGCAGTCAAAAGCACTACGCAACAAGCGAGTTCTCTGATCAGGACTGCTGACTTGAGAATGTCGATAATTGCAAACTGACTGAACTAAATTAACCTGCACGTCACGATACGCACTGAGTGAGTTTCCATCAATAACAGATTTGTATACAGCCGCTATACTGGTCTTTGCTTTATCTAAACATAAATTGTCTATACTGCCCTTGATATGCTGTCCACTTATATTAGAGCCAAGGTGAAAAGTGGCCAAAATTACATGAACCTTCTGCTTCATATCTTCAATGACGTCAGAAGAATCTGGGACACGCTGCAAATGTTCCAGAGCTCTTATTGAAAGAACATCAGGTGAATCTAATTTATTTGATGGATCCTTTGAATTTATCAAGTCAGTCACAGTTGCAGCAAAAACGTATACTGTTGCTGTTACAAGGCCCGGTTCAATTAGTTCTGCCTTGGACAAAGCTTCAGTCAATAGTCTTGCGAGCTCCTGAAAATCACCACTTGCACGTTTTAGAGCTGCTTGTAAGTACAATCTTATCACCTCGAAAATCAAGTGATCTTGTGCTTGCGATAGAATGGTCTTGTACTCTTCGAGCAAGATGCGTGCTTCATTGAAACTACCTCTGCGGTAACAGGCGGTGACTTGTTTGGACAAAACCAATAACTTCATCTCGCATGCTTGACATTTTCTCTGAAGAATTTGACACTCTCTCGAAAAGGCATCCCAATCACCTTTATTAATTAATTTCCTTAATTTTTCACCTTTAACAGTGAAAGTCTTCCGAGCCTCACGTGAGCTCCATGTAATACGTTGAACTGAAGACGGAATTTCTTCCCCACTACGCAACCAACCTGTATGTAATACTCTTCTTTTCCAAGTGGCGAACGACATCTTTTTTACTTTTCCCTCCACCATTTCATAACATTCTGGTTCCTCGGTGAACACACCACCCAGACAAGGAGCGATGTAGATCACGACCACAAAGGTTGACGGGATAGGTTTGGAGTTTTCATCTACCACTGGCTGGAAGAATATCTCCCAGTGTACCCCTCGTTTTGGTTGACCAACCTGCTCAGGCCAGATCATCTTGTTGATGGCTTTCTCAACTTTCTTTGTTATTTCACCAATGTCCTCCTCATTGGAAATCAATTCTCCTTCGACAATGCCAGCATCTCTGATACCATAGTAAATATGACCTCCGTTATAGTTGGGAAAAGCGGAAACATAGCAACTGAATTTATTACCTTTACCAGTCATACGATCTGCTAGTCTGGTGCGTTTTGATGGACCTGCTTTTATATTCTTGAACTGAACAGTTTTTGTCTCATGTAAGCCAGAATTTGTATCTTTAACAATTTTTTTACAATGAGAACCATACTGGACTGGTTCCTGAACGACTTTTCTTTAAGAGTAGGGTAATTTACGTTTAGGTCAGGCTATGCGAGCAATGTTGGCAAATGACCAAATCCCTTCATCAGTCACCCCAAATACTAACAAAAATAAATAAACTTCAAAGCTTTGAGGGAGTCAGTTGTATGAATGCAAAACGAAATTTCTCGCACTGCTGAGACAGCTGAGATCACGCAACAAAAAACGTATGTATTAACATTAAAGTCATAATACATAAAGTTATATATTACTACAGAAACCAAATATCCAATCCCGTTTACATGTGTGGCTCCTCTACCTGTCCCTTGGTACAGGTAATCCCCCCAAAGTGAGATTCATTATTACAAAACAGGCAACTGGCCGCTGTTGATTTGTTCAGTAGCGTAACGGAGGAACACGGGGCCCTTAGGCATATTTTGTGTCGGGGGCCCTTTTGTCATACATCGTTAGTGACGAAACGCACCGTACGTGTCTCACGGCGCGACCTTCCTAGGGGGGTCGGTCGGGGGGAATGCCCCCCCCCCTTAAAATTTTTGAAATCTAGAACCTCTGTAATGCTATATATATTTTAAATGTTCTATATAATATATAAATAATATATAATCTATATAATCTATACACTATATAATCTATTTTTACTAAAACTGGACAATGCCAATGTCAAAATGTTTAACAAATTAAGTTTAATTACGTAAACTGTAAAACTTAAACACCTATTTATTCCTTCCTTCTCGCATTTGCATTGGCGAATCGGTGGATCAGCTCGTTCTTGTCAACAACTTTCGCTTCTTTATTTTCGATGGAAAGTATCGCTAAACCTGAAAGCCTTTCTTGGGATATTTTAAACCTGAGATATGTCTCTATCAGCTTCAGTTTAGAGAAAGAGCGTTCTGCTGTTGCAACTGTAACAGGGATCGTTGCAAATAGGATGAGGAGTTTATACACTTGCGAGAAAGAGGAACTGACGCGGCTTTCAAGCATTAAACGAATTACATCCGTAACAGATTGTCGCTCTGCGATTTCCTTTCTGAATTCGTTGACAAAAGATCGAAATTCAGACACAAGTTCTTCTGTAAAATCAGTTGGATATTCTTCTACAATTGCTTCTGCAACAGTTTCAAGCTGAGGTGACTTTAACTGAGACATGTTTTGTGGATGAAGGCAACTGTATAGACTGGTGACCATTTTCTGACCTTCAAACCGTTGTTTGAGTTGCATAATGGCATTGTCAACCGTTTGGTAAAATACGTTGACTTTGAAAGCTTCT